CAGGGCTGGGGGGGCGAGCGCCTCGTCCCTCCCCTGCGGTGGCCTTGCAGCCCCTTCCCTCTGCCCTAGCCCCCCGAGGAGGACGTGGTGGGTTAAGGATGATGGTGAAGTGAGAATCAGTAACAAACGGAATCCAAGCGCTTGCCGGCAGTGGGGACGGCCCGGGCAGGGGCTCAGGACAGGCTCCTCGAGTCCGGCTCCGGGCAAGGCCTGGACCTGGGCGTGCTGTCACTCTCCACCGGCGCAGGGCAGGGGCTGCTCTGCCCCCGGCCCCCCAGAGCCCCCTCCGAGCATCCGTCCGACCCCGGGGGGGCGGGGGGGGGCTCTGCCATGCTGGTGCAGTCCTTGCCGCTGGCATCTGCACGGCCCTGGGAGCCCGGGGGGTGCTCAGTCTGCTCAGGGGGGGACAGGCTGGGGCCGGTGGCCACCTCTGGTAGCGGGACCGGGGGCTCTGCAGCGTGGGGGGCTTCTGCTGCAGCCACCACAGAGGCTGAAGTGACCTCGATGGTGATGGAGCCCACGGCCGTCTGCGGGTGGTCACTGCTGACCCTGATGCGGGCAACCAAACCGGAGGCGGCGGCGGCATCCTGAGGGCCACCGTTGGCCACGGCTTCGTGCACCGCGGCTGGCTCCAGCAGGGTCGTGCTCAGGTCGGAGAGAAACGAGGCTTCTGTGACGATGGCGGCCGTCTCGGCTACCCAGTTCAGGTCGCTCCCGACAGAAGCCGCCGTGGCGGCGGCGAGAACACTGGAGGCCTCGCCAGGAGTCAGGGTGGCCGGGCCACCACTCTCAGCTGAGGGGCCAGCAGGCAGGTGGGGCCGGCGGCCCACCCCGTCGACGGGGGCAGCTGTAGTGTTGTTGTTGAGGTTGTCCTGGAGCGTGGTCTGCGTGCCCTGGCCCACCTGCTGGTTCTGCAGCAGCATCTCCTGGATCCGGATCTGCTGCAGGATGGCCGGCAGCTCGTAGTGGTGGAAGAAGTAAATCATGGAGTGCTAGAGAAGGCAAAGGGAAGGGGTCACTCACCGGGCCTGGGCCGTGAGCCCAGACGTTCCTTAGACAGCCGTGCAAAGCCAGCGACCGCACAACTCGGGCGCTGACAGCTGAGGGGTTATTGGAAATTTTGGAAAGATTTATCCCTTCTACTGTGATTCCTGCAAGTGGCTGTCAGAGCTTTTATAGTTTCTGAAGACAAGCAACGGAGAACAACCCCTCCTCCCTTTTAAGGGCTGAGAACAAGAAGGATAAAGGCACTTCTCTGGCCCACCTCAGTCCCCCGTCTGCATCCTGCAGCAGAGGAAGGGGCAGGACAACAGCCAGAGACACACAGAACGTTGAGACGTCAGTTTGGAGCTGGTCTTGGCAGCACCTTCACTGCACAGACCTGACCAACTCCTCAGCCTCCGCACGGGAGATGCTCAGTGGGATTTCTGGAAGAAATGCCCCCCCAACGCCTTCCACAGTTCACCTGACACCAGCACACTGGCAGCCATGCGGCTGGATTTCAGCCAGTGACCCAAACATCCTGCTGTTCAACAGCCACCTCCTGCTGTTCCATTTCAATCACTGACATAAAGAAAGTTCACTACTCAAACTCAGCTTGCGAAGATGTTTGATAAAGCCCAAACTGCAGCTGATTTCCCTCACTTTTTGACAGCACAGCCAGGGCGAGCCCTCAGCACTGCAGCAGTTTGAAGCACGGGCGGACGGAGCGAGCAGGACGGGGGTCCCAGGAATCCCCCCCTGCCCCTGCCTGCACGCGGCAGCTGCTCACCTGGATGAAGAGCCATGAGGTGACGAGCGCCAGGCTGCTGTACTGCCCGTTGAACCGGTAGTGGTAGGCGTAGAAAGCAAAGTGGTACAGATAGAAGAACCTGAACAGAAAAGCAATAAATATCAGGGTACATCAAATGGACAGGACAAACGTGAGCTTCCTTCTAGCCCCAAGTCCATCCCCAGCTGGGGCGCTGTGCTGGGGGCTGAAGAGTCCCATTAATGGGTAATTAGCACAAACCAGCGGGCACGCAGAGGCCTGGGGCAACTCTCCAGAGCCAGGCGTGAGGCCCAAAGCGAAGCGACTGCGCTTCGGACCCTACGACATGCAGGGCAGGTCCCACGGGACCGGCTGCGGCTCAGGGTGGGGGGAAGCCCCTGCCCGGGGGGGCTGGAGAGGAGCTGGAGCCGCCTTTGCCCAGGCAGCGGAAGGGGATCCCCGCCGGCTCCCACCTGAGCCAGTGCCTCTTGCTCGTGTTGGTGTGGCAGCAGATGGCGTCGTACTGGTCAGCCAGCCAGACGATGAGGATGATGTAGAAGGCAGTTGTGGTGTCGTTGAAGAACTCGGACATGATGGCCTCCATGCCTGCGGGAAGGGGCCGAGCTCAGCAGCCCGCGGGCAGAGCCCGGGGAAGGCAGCAGCGAGGGGCAGACGCAGCCCCCGCGTGGCCCCCACAGGTTCTGTTGGTTGTGTTTTAAATTCAAACTGTGCTAATGCAACGTGGGCACAGAGGCGTGAAGCTGAAATGAACTAAAGGGATGGATAAAGCCCCAGTTTAAGCGATTTCCAAACGAGCTGCTCTCCCAGGGGACCCAGAAGGACAATGCAGCTCACTGTACCATCAGATTCCAGAGCCTTCCACCTCGTGATGAGCAGAGGCACCAACCACCTGTCGTGGCCAGGCCAGAACAGGGAATTACACTTCCCCCGGAGCCCGGAGGGACTCGCTGCAGGGCCCAGGCAGCGAGTTAATGTCCTCACCTACTAGAGCCAGAATGACAGTGAGGAGCGGAGCCGCAGGGAACGCAATGGTCATGTTCATCTCTAGCATCTGCAACAGGTCAACTGCAAGGAGGAAAGCACATGGTGATCCAAAGTGGACACGGGGACACAGAACCCTCTGCCCCCACGTTGCTCCCCGCTCAGCAGGGTGAAGCCCACCCTAACCCCGTCCCTCACTGAGAGGCAGAACAGCTCTCGCAAGCACAGGGATGGGGGGACGGGGCACGTCCCCTGCGCAGCCACACACGGGTCCCTTCTCAACAGCAGCCAGCAGCATACACAGGACAGACTGTGCGGGAGCTCCTGTGATCAGCACCCCCAAAACCCCTCGGAAAAATCCTTACCGATGAAGACAAAGATCTGGTGGTGTGAGTAGCGCAACAGCATCGAGACAGAGAGAGTCTGAAACATGAGAACAGAGGCCGGCGTTAGAGCCCCGCCGGCACATCCCGCAGCCCTGAGAGAGACACAGACCCGTTGCCCAGGGAGCGAGGAGCTCTGCGCACCCAGCAATTCACCTTGGTGCAGTGAATTAGTAATCTGTTTGTAGAGACCAAACCTGAATACCTGACCAGGGGCCAACCAAAGAGCAGCAGCAGAGCTGGGAGGGGGTTTCTGCCCGTCCCAGCCCAACAGTTGCCCAGCACAAGGAGCTGCATCGGGGACGGTCACACACCACAGGAGACAGTCACCCAAGGCTACGAGCACAGACTCAGTTACACCCGGGATCTTCTCTAATACTTATATCTGCAACCACCTCCTCTCACACAGTCACAGGAGACTTGATCACTCCTGGCAGATTAGTTAGGGCTGGTCTTAAACACCTCAGAGGACAAACTGCTGCACCCTGAGTGCTTTAACCACACCTAGAGCCTCTCTAACCTGAATGTCCCTTTTGAGAGTCTGGTTCAGCTCCTGTTTGTCTCACTGTTAGGACTTTTAAGAACCCCCATTAAACCCCCCCAGAGTAGAACCTCGCACTCCATCAGCTCTGAAAGGAGGGGAGAGCTCAGGCCTGGGCTCCTACAAACACGGGCTGGCCAGCACCTGGCTCAGCGCCCAACGCCCAGCTCCGGCCGACTTACAAATATGACCATGATGACAAAGGCTGCCAGGTAGGAAGTCCTGGCCATCCACATGCTGACGAAGCGGTAGTGCTCCCCAGACACCACATTGCGGAGGAAACCTGGAGAAAAGAACCCAGCACAAACACATGAGCTCAGTGTGATTAACCCACACGCTAAGAACAAACTTCTGCACCTTCTAAGGGAGCAGGACACGCACAGCCATGGCGACAGCCCTGCCAGCAGCACCCTCATTGTCATACAGTGCGATAAGGCTGCAGGAGATCACATCTGCAGACACCTGTCCCCTCAGGCTCGTTTCGTTTTGTCCTTCACAATAACATCTCTACACAACGCAGGGAACAGATCCCTGCACTGGGGATTAATCAATAGTCAGATGATGATCTTCATGCATCCGGAGGAAAAATGGCTGAGAGCCATTCCTCCAAGCCTTACCTTTGTTTTCTTCATTTTCAGCTAAAGCTTTGACACTTGACATCAGGATGTCATCGTAACCCAGGAATTCATCCAGCAACAGGCGACTGAACCTGTCCCCAAAGCACTGATCCCTGGTTGGATCTAGAGAGGAGACAAAAAGCTGTTCAGATTGTTCACACCAGCCACTGGGGCAGCGAGGCAAATGCCCAGGGCCAGCACCCAGTCTTCTCCTAACTCCAAAGGACACAGCTGCCAACAGAGCTGTGTCTGTGCTCAGACCCTTAGCTGTCCAACTAAATCGGGCAGGACTGGGAGGGAAAACATCACACCCTGACAAATGTGGCCACGCTATCAAAATGCTCATGTCAGTCAGGCCCCATGAATTACACCAGGGCTGTCACACTCACTGCTGGCACAGGCACAAAGGGAATTTGCCTTCTAGGCTCAGACTATCTCCCTAGGCTTGCCCCAGCTAATGTCTCAGAGAAGCAAGTTCTGGGAAGGCTCAAGAGGGCCAGGCCAAGACTTTTTAGCTACCAGCTGGCCTTGGCATGACCCGGCTGGGGCCCATCACCCCCCTCAGTGAAGGACACGCAAACACCTCCCCAGGGCTCTGGGCACAAACGGCTCCTCCACTCCTCTCCTGAAGCTGGAACTGCATTCCACAGCACATCAGCTTGTAAAAACAACCCAAACCTAAGCAAAACAGGAAGCGTGAACACAAATAATTTTTTTGTAAATTACTAGGATACTTTTGAAGGAATCTGTGTAGCTGAATTGGAAAACCCAGGTCAGTAAATTGACTTTTACCATGGAAACTGCCCATTAGCTAAACTGCTTCATACTCCAGCCCAGCTGTAGTTCAGTTTGACTAGGGGTAGGTCATGAGATCCAGGCTGACTGCTACACCAACAGCTCATACAGCTCAGTTAAGTTCACAGGCACGAGGAGGAGGTTTGGGACCATATTCCTGACTTGGGCAGGTTTTAATGGAGCAGATGTGGGCGAAGGGGAAGGGGCACAAAGGCCGCTGAGTCGGCGCTGAGCAGTCCCGCTCGCTGCGGCTCCAACCCGGTGCTGCTGCTGCCCTGAGCCTGGACCTTCAGGTCCTCCCTCCCTGAGAAAACTGCGCTGGCCAGACCAGGCTCCACCACCCCCGGGACTGTGCTGGGACAGGAGTGACCTACTAAAGCCGTAAGGGCTCCCTAAAGTTCTCCCAGGTGGAAAGTGGGAGCCATCACCTGTTACAAACAGTCCCCACAGGACTGCAGAGGGGTACGGAGGGACCTGCAGAGTGCTGCCCCCCGCCCCAGAGCGTGCTGGGACCCGACTCACCCAGCGCCACCACCACGACCCTCCCGACTCACCCAGTGTCACCACCATGACCGGGATGCTGAGGCGCTGCCGCGTGCTCTGTGAGAGGCGCAGGAACCCGTACTCCAGCGAGTACTCCACGATGTACTCCTCCTGCGGCCACACTGCAGGAGAGGACGAGGAGACTCAACAGCTTGCAAACCCAGGAGAAACAGCACCTCTGGATTCCCTCCCTCCCTTCCACCACATTCTTGAAAAGAGAATCAGTTGCAAACACGGCTTCTAGGCTTCCTTCAATTAAAGACAAATCAGTACAAATTCTTTGAAATTGCAGCCCGTTCCCTTGACATTAGTCCCTAATGTGAAACTTCTGGGAAAGCTTCAGGGCAGCGGCTCCAAGCTGTGTCAAGCATCTGCCCCCATCTTTGCCTGGCGAGCCCCAGAGCACTTGTTCTTGTTCTCTTCAATTTCTGCTTTCTGGGTTCTTGAGGAAACAGCAGGAAAATGCAACTTTATACCTTGTGGGGGTTAAACCCGCCCAGCAGGCAAACCCCATGCAGCCTCCCGGGGGATGGGGGAGAACTGAAGGGGTGAAGGTAAGGAGACTCATAGGTTGAGATAAAAACAATTTAAACATTGAAATAAAATGAAATTGATAGTAATTATAGAATATACAGCCGAGTGATGCACACTGTGATCGCTCACCACCCGCCAACCGACGCCCAGCCTGTTCCCAGCCAGAGAACCCAGAGAACGGAAAATCCAGAAACCACAATCCCGGAGAAGCGAGCGAGCAGCTCCCCCCCTCCACCCACTGAGCGTGAGGGGGGTGCTGGGGAATATTCCCTTGGCCAGGCTGGGTCTGGGGCTCTGACCATGCTCCCTCCCAGCTTCTCGTGCAGCTGTGCACGGGCAGGACACGGGGAGCTGGGAAGTCCTTGATTTCTGAGCCGCAGCTGAAAACATCAGTGTCTTATCAACGTTCCTCTCATAGCAAAGCCCACAACGAACCCAAAACACAGCACTATTCTCCCCACTCAGACAACAAATTAACTCTATCCCAGCCAAAGCCAGGACACACCTGCCGAACACCAAGTAAACAGAGGGCACGAGCACTGCGCTTCTCAGGAGACCGGTCACTGCCGCAGCCAAGAACCTCAAAGCTCAAGGCAGGAGTGGCTGTGCCTTCCCCAAAACATGGAACTTTCCAAAAACTTCAGGCATGGTGGTACCTAAAGTTTCCCTGTTTTGGTTTTTTTTTTTTTAAGAAAGTTTCAAAGATGCTTTTTGCTACATCATCTTTGAAAGGACAAAACCTCCTGCTAAGTCAGAGCCAAGCAATTTAATCCCTGACTCTCAAGCTGTCACAGCACATCCTGCAAGAGGCGAGGGGAGGCGGCTGTCGGGTGTCTCACAACGACACAGCAGAGGAGTTAAAAGGACACAACAACTTAAAAGGAATGTACCTGTCTCTTCTGACTTACAATGACACATCAGCGACGGAAGAGCCCACCTCCCTGCCTCGGATTCCACTTCTCGGGCAGCAAACACAGGCTGCTGTGTTTGTTTCAGCTTTTGTTTCCACTATAAAATGGCTTTAAGCTCAAATGGAAAAGAGTGTTTGAATATCCCTTGTATCAGAAAACACTCTTCCATGGTAAAATATTCTGTCTAAACATCAAATTTGGGGTACTTGTAACACAAGAAACCTGGACAAAACCAATAAAGCAGGGATTTGGGACCCATTTGAGAAGATGAATGTTTTAATTATGTCGGGAAGCAGCAGGATCCTCCCTCCCACCACGCTGCTGGACCATCTCCAACCCACGCTCAGCACAGCCCATCAGCACACACAACCTGACCCCTACAGAACTCAGGCAACTATTAATAAAGGGATCACACCAAAAATATTTACTGTTTTCTAGTCTTATGTGACTTAATGACCTTAAATTCAGGACTACTGAGTTCTGGGTCAGCATCAAGTAGAAACACGGGAACGTGCCGCTGAGGCGCCCAGTCTCACAGTCCTCCCCAGCCACAACACCCAGTGCTTCTGAAGAGCAGAGAATTTCAGTCTTTCCAGGGGTAAAAGTGTAGGTGAAAAAGGCAAATTAAATAAGAATCCAATTGCTGTGTTTCAACATAAATACATTTTAATAGGTTTCCTGCCCTAACCACTAGAAACAGAAGTTTTCCAACACTGGAATTCCATTTTGAATAATAAAAAGCCACTAAATCTCCCTCTGGAGTCCATGAGACATTATTAGCAGCTTAAGTCATGCTGGAACAAGGGGAGGGATAAAGCAGGACGATATCTGAACAATGCAGAACAGCAATGCTCTATCTCGCAATCCACTAAAACTCGTTCGGTGGCTTTCAGGATTAATTAGCTGTTCCAAGTACTGGTGTTGACTCAAAGACCCAAAATCCAGCCCAAACCCTGCTAATACAGGGAGGAATGTGTGCTGTCAGTGAGGACAGGCTGGGAGAGTTCCCCCCAACTGGAGAAGAGAAGGCTCCGGGGAGACCTTAGAGTGTCCCCACAGGGCTGAAAGGGGCTGCAGGGAAGGGGGGAGGGATAGGACGAGGGGTCAGTTTTAAACTGAAAGAGGGGAGATTCAGATTAGGTATCAGGAATTCTCCCCTGGGAGGGGGGTGAGGCCCTGGCACAGGCTGCCCAGAGAAGCTGTGGCTGCCCCCTCCCTGGAAGGGTTCCAGGCCAGGTTGGACGGGGCTTTGGGCAACCTGGGCTGGTGGAAGGTGGCCCTGCCCAGGGCAGGGGGTGGCACTGGGTGGCTTTAAGGTCCCTTCCAAGCCAAACTGTTCTCTGGTTCTGTGATCTCAAGAGGACAGCTCAGAGGAAGGAGGTTCACGTTCACCTGAGACACCTGGCACCGATCATGGCAGAAACTCAAGGCCAGACCATGAGGCTTCAGCAAATTTTACAGCCCAGATGACCCCCAACTCCCAGCCTCCCTCCACCACAGGAAAGATCTTGTGGATCTGCTGTTACTATTGACGAGATTAACCACCGGTGAACATGCCAGGGGAGACGTTTCAGGTTACCACAGACATGCCCAGAGAAGGCAGAAGGAAAGGACGTGCAGGGGTGCGGGGCAGGGGCAGGGAGGGCCGGGTCGCGGCGTTAGCGGTCTTTACCTGCTCTGGCTAGCATCTCAAACTCGGACACAGTCTCCCGCAGAGGCTGCATACCTTTAGCGGCTGCTTCGCTAAACGAGAACTCCTGGCTTTCGTTGTGGGTCAGCGCCTCGGTGCTGCTCACCCGGGATGGCTTGAGTAACACCCTGGGCTCGATATCCAGCTCAAACTGTGGGAAAACCGCCACCGGGAAAGTCACGTCAGCAGCGGCTCCAGCTCCCGCCTCCTGCGCTCCCCCCGTGACCCCAGCGAAGGCCCCTCCGCCCAAAGGACACGAGAGGCTACTCTCAGGCTTTAATTTCCGTCTTAACCCATCAGACACTAACGTGGAGATTCAGGAAAAGCCAAGGAACACGCTCAGTTTCCGGGTGACTGAGGGATCACAGAGGGACTGTGAAATGGTTTAATTCTCCCCAAACCAACCCCCGAGTTCCCATCTCCCGGGTGCCCAGGGAATGTGTCCTTACCTTGATAGAGCTGTTTTCAAACATATCCACAGTCATTTCCTCCTCTTCCTCCTCCTCTTCCTCCGCTGTGGATTCAACCACCATTCCTGGGAACTTCTCAACCCCACAGAACTGCAGGAAGATGGGGGCTCGGCTCGAGTTGCGCTGGATTTCCACCCGCAAGATGCCGTCGCGGGGCCATTTGTCTCGCACGTGCTCCAGGCAGTTAATGGGCGAGCGGGAGAAGGCGATGTGGATGTAAGCCAGGATGAAGAGCACGAAGAGAGCCTACACACAGCAAGAAACAGAGCAGAGGCCATCAGCCCAACCAGCCCTGGCCTGCTTATAGATAAGCATCGCTTCTTCACCCACAAAGACATCAGATTAATCCAGACAAACGGATTTGCGAGTGGACAAGAGGTTTTATGCCTCCCAACCCCGGTGGTCTCTGCATCAACAACAGCACAGAATCAGGCAATTTCAGCATCAACAGGGGAAGACACCAAAGCCAGCAGCAAGAACACCCTCCTCTGCTGCCACTGAGACCTGTGCAGAACACGTGTCCTGCTGGAAGCAGAGCCCAGGCACAGGCCCCAGCAAACCCCCCCCAGCCCCACAACGGCGGCACCGCAGACAAACCAACCAGACGCAGCTCCGGCGTGTGGTGGGGCTCCGGAGCACACAGAAAGAAACAGAAACACATCCGTGCCCTTCAGCCGCTCCCTCCTCAGCACAAAGCGTCTCCCGTTGAAGGCTGCCCACCTTTACAAAGGCAGAATAAAGCCAGCCTCAACAAAAGACGATGCACCATGGAGCAGGACACGCCAGCGCGCGGCAGAACCACCAGCTCCAGGCCCAGCACTCGGCGCTGGCTGCACTGCGCCCGCGGAGCATTGCCACTCCCTCGCCCTGGCTCTCCCTGAGGAACAGCTATAAAGCCACAGCAAAACTAAGTGGACTATTAAAATCCGTTCCCTACAGTGAAGATAATAAATCTATCACAGTGTTACCCAACACAGTCCAAAGTTCACAGCTGAAAGCTCCAAGAAACGCCAGCACAGTAAGTGCTACAGCTGAGCTTTGTACACGCACCTTCCAGCTGTGTTAAGATGCTCATTCCTAATTAACCCACCTGTCCTCACTACATATCGCTCCTGACCTATTTGCTGTGAATAAACAGACCAGTAAACACCTCGTCTGCAGAGGAGCAGCACAGGAAGGCGCCAGGGGAGGTGAAGCAGAAACGCTCCCTCGACGCAGGAGGAGCCGAGCCACGAGCAGTGTCAGGGCTCCGTGAGCAGCAGGGCCACGGATTCTGACTTCACCTCCCACCACCAGCCTGCGCCCAGAGCCGAGACCAGGCTGGAGCCTGGCTGCCTCCCGACCCCGCGGGCAGGAGCGGGCTGTTCTCTGCAGACACCCTGTGAACGCTCCCGCTCCTCGGGAGCGCTTTGATCAAGAGCAGACAGCAGCAAGAACCGCTACTGCCGAGCCACACGCTCTGCCCCACAGCCTCGCCGTCAGCACCATCCCTGTCCCAGTCTCCCTGTCCCTATCCAGTTATACAACAGGGAAAAAAAGAGAGAGCTGAGAAAACCCTGAACGTTTCTGGGGAGGGGAGGAAAAAGTCTATGTGCAGTATGAGACAAGTTGTCCTAAATGTTTTCTTGCTTTAAGCAACTGAATTTTAGAAACTGAGAGCAGAAACACCCTGTTGTCATACACCAAGCTCCTGTTCCCCCTTCCCCTTTCTCCGATTTCCCACACTGGTGCTGACCAGAAGTGTCAGCGTGTGCCCTGGAAGCCGCGGGGCAGGATTTAGCCTACAGGCAGTTCACCCCGTGGGCTCCGACGGGCCCCTCTGTGGGTCAGTCCTGCACCCGCCCCAACAAGAACACAGGAGGGTTTTCACCCTGTTGCGGAGAAGCGTGACAGTGCACGGGCACAGCCGAGGGTGCTGACTGCGGAAAAGAAATGGGGTTAAAATGGGGTAAAATGTCTGGAAAACAAGACTTCCACCATCAAGTCTCTCACATATGCAATGAATCCAAAACCAGCGACTGCTTGGACACAGAACCACAAATCTTTCACACGCACATCCCTGGGCCTGACCCACACCAGCCTGGCTGCCCCATGAGCTGGCTCAGAGATTTTTCTCTTCATTTCCAGACCCGGTGCCAGAGCTCTGACGGCGCGCGGGGCACCACAGATCGTTACAACTATTCATGTCCTTCTCCCAGAAGGGCGGCCCGTGGGAGCTCAGCAGACAGCCTGGGGGAGGTGACCCAAACACAGGCCGTGACCTCTGGAAGAACCAAGTTTTGTGTTCGTACGGAAATTTATGCCTTAGCGCCTGACCGCAGGCTACTGAGAGGAGCGTCCTCTCCTCGCCATAAAGCCCCCGAAAAGCTGCCCCTCACCTTGAGGAGGACAAAGAATTCGAAGACGCGGCGGAAGGAGGGCGGGAAGAGGCGAGCGTAGGTCACTGCCATCTTGAAGAAGAGCGCGTGGAAGAGGCGATCACGCACATTGATCAAGGGGTTCTGGTTGAGGTTGGGATTGCGGATGCCCCGGTTGTTCCCCGCGGCAGCCCCGCCGCCCCCGGTGTTGTTGGCCGGGTGGTGGTTGTTGGCGTTCGGCTGGTTCTCGGACATCCTGGTGCC